TAGCGTGAACACTTATTTGTGGGTCTGTCTTGCATTTCTTAATTGTCCATTACAATCATTCCTATCACTTTCCTGGCACTGACACAAAGAGTTTTCATAGCCTGAAAAGAGGCTGCACTTAAGTTATCCTATCTCAGGATAACTTCCATGTGCTAGAGTCCACATGTTTCAAGACCAGGTTGGATGAGGCCCTGTGCAACCTGATATAGTGGGCATCATCCCTTCCCATGGCAATGGGATTGGGACTAGATGATCTTTATGGTCCCTTCCAACCCAATCTGTTCTATGATTCTGTGAGTCCTTCTGCATTAACCCTATGCAAACAGAGTGAGCAAGACAGTGACAGTGACTCCTTCAGAAACTTTGCAGCTTCACTGTAGGATCTATCTTGGTTCACATCCCGGGGAGCACCTAGAGACTAAAAGCAGGTAAGTGCATGGATAATTCCCAGTGGTTTAAAATAGGGAGGATTCCAAATATTTATCATTTTTGTGACAAGAAAATAAGGTTTGCAGAGTTGCCAGTTAGTCTGTTTTGAAGATCAAGCGAGCGTCTTGTCAGACATCCACTATAAGGAGAGGAAGGCTCATATATCCAGACCATCATCACAGTCTTAGTCAATTAGATTTGCAGTCCATGTTAATATATGGATAAATGTACAGGGCTTAAATCAGCAAGCTTTTCTACTGAACTGAGGCTGGCATACTGGTCAGCTTGCGATAACATTTCATCAAGAAACGGAACCCTGATTTGTACCTTTCTCCTCCAAACTCAAGATAAGCCTGTTGAACCGTGAGTGAAGTCAGGGATCAGCTCTGTCCTTTTTTTCTTTTTATTCACAAAAAAAAGCTCAACAATCTTAACATGAGATCTGGTGACTAGTACCAATTTCAGCTAATCCACTTGGTTGCCGACTAGTTATGAAAACATTGATAACATTCTCTGATATGAAATAAGCCTATAAAATATAGGCTATTTGCTAATCTCACAAGTCAAATCCACATAAGTATCTTCTAGGCCTGATTTAATGAAAAATGTTTCACACACAGTATATAAATTATCTTCTACCCAGTAGCTAACAGCACCATTATTTTACTTCCCACAAATGAAATATGGGTATCTGGAAGGCTTCTTTTTTTTACCCTGTAAGAAAACTGATGTAATGTTTGTAGCTGGAATTTGCATCTAGCATAACAATAGATATCATTGTGCTACTTTGCTGCATGGAGAAACATATCTGAGAGCAGGCTTAGATTTCTCCTTTCATCTTCTCCTTGCATCCTCTCCAACAGTAAGTCTTAGGCCCCAGTCCTAAGAAAAGATTTTTGCCAACTATCTCTTCACCCATATACTGCCTCACAAAGGTCACTGGACTTTTATGGATCATGCACAAATCTCCCAATTTGAGTTTATTACTGAAAAAGGCAATAGTGAGGGTTTTTATCCTCTAAAAGTGTTGATCCACATTTTCCAGTAAGTCCTACAGACTTGCAGGTTTTCACTTACTCCAGTCTTAGGCCTGGCAAATTAATTTATTCTGACCTTAGGTATAAACATGTCAGCACTGCAAGTAACGTCCTCTGTGTCTGCAGTTATGGAATTGTTGCTGCTGTAGCAATACTTCATACAAGTTTAAAGACTAACATTACATATTGGGCACAGCTGGCGGTCCCATCTGATGATTTGACCAACACTGTTAAATGCAAATTTCTTTAAATACACTAAGACATTAAGAGTCAAAGACTTCAAGGGTGTAGTTGTTGGTGGTGATTTAGGTTTGGGTTTGCTTGTTTGTTTGCTTTTAATACCTAGAATAGGGCATCCTTTAGTAAGAGTCTGCACAGCCAAAACTGGTGATGCAGAAATACAAGCAAAAAGCAAAGTATAAAGAACAGCTAGGATCTGTGTCAAAATGTGTCCATTTCAGAACTAGATAGGCTTTACCTTAACTGCCTGAACTGCTTAATTTGTACTAAAATTCACTGTATTCACTGTATTTTCTGATTATTAAAAGACAGAATGTTTATTTAACTTCATATTATTTCAATGCATTGCTAAATAGAATAGACAAAGCATAGCTTTGACCTGGATCTAAATGGAAACTAAATTAACATCTCTATTTTTGAGATTTTTCCAATGCCTACTAAACTCAGTGGGTGTTTTTTCACAAACCTCACTGAGTTTTGGATCCGGCCCTATAAGAAAAAAACATTTAAAACCAGGAAAATCTTTTATTTTCTTTTTCTTCTTCACTGTATCTTATTTTTGGAATGTTCTTATAGTGGTTCACTCAGGAAGGAGACATTTCTCAGCACAGGAAAGGCAGAAGGAAACAGTTTCATTAATTGCAAAACTCACCCAGTTTTTGATAGAGGCTCCACTTTTGTCATGAATGTACATATCTTTGGAGTACAGTCCCCACAGATCAAAAATAAAAGGTGTCAAAGTTGCTGCTGAGCTAGGGATTTACTCATAAAAATAATACCGTGAAAACTTTAGTCTGTATGTAACAATGAAAAGTTAATGCAAATGGTCATTGACTTCATTATAGAAATCTTTGGCAACAACTTTTCCAGACTCATGTTAAGCCTTGAGAGAGAAATGTTTCAGCACATAACCACTTAATCATTTATATGAATGAAAATGAGTGCAAACAGAATGCTGAGATGGCTTTAAGATCACCTCTTTTTTCTTGTATGGAATACCCACTATAATTACATTTTGCTTGTCAGTTCATAAATTTTGCTTATTACAAAACGGGCATTATTGATTGCTTTTTAAAAGTACTAAAACTAAGCTAAGAGCAGTAGATCTCTCAGCAAATTCAAAACATACTATCTTCCAAACTAATCACTGGCAAAGGAACTGTGGAAAAACTATCCAAGTTTATTGTAAGCCCAAAGCAAAAAATAAAAAATAAATAAATAAATAAAGTTGCCATGAGTTTTAGGTTAGTAACTTGGCTTTGAATTTAGCATGTTTTAAGCCACAATGAAAAAAAAAAGATAAACTTATTTGGCAAAGCCAGACACTTTTAAAGCCAACATCCTGTAATTGTTTCCTCATTTGGCCTGGCAGCTTAAACAAGGATAAAAAGAGAAGGAAAAAAACAAAAAAAAAACCAAAAAAACAAAAAAAAACCAAAATGCTAAAATTTTCAGAAAGAAATATATGAAAGGGAACAAAGAAATCAAGGTATTTGTCTCATTCATGTTAAATGAATATGTAAATGACATATTTGCTCCTTTTGTTCTTCTCTTAGATAGGATTCAACAAAATGAAATTAAGGAAATTCTCTAGTCTTGTAGGAAAAAGTCTGAATTTAGAACTTTCTTGGTTTGAATTAGTGCAAATAGCAGACTTACTAACACAGGTTGACCCTATAAATGCAGAAGAGCCAAAGTGATAGCAGGCAACATTAGACTTGGACTCTTTGAGATCAGTTGATTAAACATCTCCAAGTGAGCTTAATACACACTAGGAACATCCTCAATTAGAACCATTAAGAAATAAAAGAGATCGGAAGGGATTTAGAGCTGCCATTCTCATTAAAATAAGGTTAGAGGCTGACATCTACAAATAGTTATTGGAGAGCGAGGAGAAGTCTTATAAAAAAAGAAATTAACAATGTTTGCTATTTGAATAAATCTATATCTCTGAACATACTAACTTTTATTTCTTTTACTGCTGTATTCTTGCCAGTCCTGAGCTAACACTGAAAAAAAAACATGAGGTAGCTACTGATCTGGCTGGGAAACAATGTTCTATTCAAAGCTAGTATCTGTTCTAAATATCAAGCAACAAAATTAACTGTCCTCTGTAAAAAGAAGGAAAAAAAAAAAAAAAAAAGAACATTTATGTCAACGTCAAGCCAGGAAAGTAATTTTGTATTAACCTAAGAAGTTACCAAAATGGAATACATAAACGTATTTGTTAAGTGGAAATAATTTAAGAACCTTCTAAATATCTTAACAGTCCACTTGGCTACACTTGGATTTAGGAAGCAATATTTTACATGCAGCAGTAGACTTTTTTTTTCTCTACAGTTTTAAATCCAAAGACAGGGCTGTATTCCATCAAAAAATGACAACAGCAACCTTAGTGCCACTGTGAAAGTACGAAATTTGACAGTAGTTAGAAAATGGCTACATAATAAGGCCATGATCCAACAGATATGTTGAGGGCAGCTGTGTTTGTAACAGTTACATGCATGAAAAACTACTGACACGTGGTCCCAGTGTTAGTTGAGTGACAGCTAGAAAAGCCTTTAGTCACTAAGCTTTTAGACACACCAAAGCAAATTCTGTGGAATTATCTGTGAAACTATTACAACAGCATGTATGCAAAATGCCTTTGTGGCATTGGTCTGGAAAGAAAGAAAAAGAATAAAAATGGCAGACTTGGGCTAGCACTCTTACCCTTTTGCACCACACTGGTGATCTGAAGAGACTACAAGGTATGTTTACGAGGTATATGATAGCTGTGTAATGCACATAAATGATATTCTGATAAACCATTACTGAAATCAGAAATAATCTCTCCATATTTTTCATGTTAGCAATCAAACACAAATTTCCCAATATGTAGCCTAGTACAAAACCCCATTTTCTCAGGATGCAACACGAACTATGTATCTGGACTGAGAATACCCTAGAAATAAACAGCAGGAATGTTCTGGGAGGCATGTCCTGGTCTGCTTCTTTATGGACTGCATGCCTGGAATTTGCTTCCCTGGCAACTAAGGCACAGGTGACTGGAACTGTGTTCCCAGAAAATGGGAACATGTTCCCAGAAAGCTCAAGAGATCTCAAGTCTCTCCCTTCCTTTATCTCCAACTGAGCACCTGCTGTCAAGTGGACAGGGGTGGTAGAAAGAGAGAAGAAATCAGTCTTCCAGCTATCCAGTTGTGTCCCCTGTGAAGACCCTTCAGCTACAGAGTGACAGACAAAGCAAACTGGAAATTCAACTAGCTTTTCATGTTCTTTGTTACACCAAATTAGAGCAAAGTGTTGACTGTTGGGAAATCTGCCTCCTGACAAAGTTTATGGACCCGAATCATTGATGAGCTGTGGCTGCACACGGGTGGAAAGGAGCCTACTGTCCAAAGAATGCATGAGGTAAGGTTACCCATACTGGTAGTTCTGGCTTTCCTACGACTTGGTATTTTCTATTATTTCACATGGTGTCTACTCATCTCACAATTATGATGCATAGTCACATTTCTGTAATGGTTCTCCATTTTGTACCACATAAAAAACTTTACTAATTCCAGTACAATTAGATGTATTTTTATATTTTAGGAACTTAGTGTAATTATCAAAGAAGGACATAAGACTAGTCTGTTGCCATCCCATTTCAATTAATATTGTTAACTAACCTTTCTTTAAAAATTCATGCATGAGTAGACTTAGAGGTCTGTACATACTCCAAAGCTTCACCACCATCTTAAATACAGACACTATGTTTGTTATTCTCCAATCATTTGCAGCCATTCACAGGTGTATTACAAACCCTTGAAAATCAACTTGCAGCTTTATTTCTTTCAATGTTCTCCTGTGAAGCACATCTAGTTCTCCCAGTCTAAGCATATCCAGCTTTTCCAATCTTATTTCCATTTTGGTTAAGGTGGTTTCCATTTCTATACTGTTATTCTCTGTTTATTTTGCCTTTACCTCCATATTATGCTACTTCCTTCTAATTGTTATCAGTTCTAACTTCATAAATCCTGCTCTAAATAGGATATATTACATTACATTATTGTAGGAATATTTGATACACATCCATAAATTACATTCTGCAAGACATTATGAAAAAAAAAACAATTGCAAGCTAACAGGAAACAGCTTTACTGCAAACAATGAGAAAACACCACAAAATCTTTTGTCTTCTTGATTGTCACCTGCCAACAGAGCAAGCTCCTCTTTGTGATTCAGAGAAGAGAAGCTTAGACTGCCAATATCACAAAGAACAACACTGTCCAGCAAATGTGTCATAACCACAGCAGTTCTCTGGTTGTTTTGTGTACGTATCTCAATGTCTCAGGGATTTTCTTACACCTACAGCCATCACATCACATAACTGTGCTCAAGTCAGCACATTCTGGGACATTCTAAGTGCCATGTATAATGTTTCAGCTGCTAAGAATACAGAAAAGTGTTTCTTTGTTTGTTTGTTTTTTACTTGAGGACAGCATAGCATCATGTATACAAAGATGAATCCTGTTACAACTTTGTTTTTGTTAGCTTAGTTAAAATAAGAGTATATTCAAACATTTAAACACTTAATGTGAAATAAAACATATTAATTCTGTGTTGTACATACATGTAGGATCTTATGCCATTCCCAAATTATTATGTTATTTACAAAGATCCTACTTTCTCCAGTTGTGCTGAAAATCCAGAATGTTCCAAATGTCAACCAAAACCACTTTCACAACACTTTTCCCATATATACTATTTTTACATACTATTTTTATATTTTTAATATACACTTTTTTTTTTGCAATAGACAAAGTTAGCAGATTCAGCTATATTATACTTAATTAGAAAGCTGATGAAATTTGCACAGAATGATTCCTCAAGATTATAAGTAAATTGGACAAAGTATATCAAATAAAGAAATACCAGGTCACACTAATATATTAGAGTAACTATGACTAAGAAAAGTACAAATATATGACTGCAAAAGACATGAAAGCTAAAATATAACTCACTTCACAAAAGGAAAGATTCACCTCATCCATTTTGAGAATCTTCTTAACAAATAAGTCTCTTCTTAACTGAGAAGCTAGTTCATTAGATGAAAATCTAGGCACTGAACTCCAGATAAAAAGAGCAAAACTTATAGGAATTTGGTAAGTCTATGCTATTTTTAAACCATTAAGCTTTGAAGTTTGAAGTCAAAGATGGAAAATCCTCTTCTTCAGAAAGGTAGAGCATGAACATGAAAAAACAATAGTAAGCACCATAGCAGAAAGCAAGTGTGCTGTCATCAATCTGTCTAAGAAGACTTGTAAGATTTACCATGAATCAACACTGAATGCCAAACCTTAATGCAGTGTGTCAAGAATCTGTAGTAACCCCTGTGCAAAACTAAAAATCCAGTGAACAAACTGACTAGAAAAGTATTTAGCCCCTGTCAGTAATGACAACTAGTGCCCTGGTGGTAAAAACAGAAATAAAAACATCTTACATGGGAAAAGAGAAATCTTACTAAAATGTATATTTTGAGAGTTTGCTGTGATTGTTTAAAGCAGTCAGGCTATTCAGCTGGGAGATGGTGGGTGTCATGTTGAAAACAAATTACAGTAGTTTTCCACCGTGACAGAATCTCTGGACTTTCTGCAAAGATGCAGGTTTTGTTATTTCAGGGGGTGCTGAACTGAATTCCCATAAACTAGAGTAGAATAAGCAAGATCTGGTCTAAGTCACAGTTTCAGAATAGGCTCTACTTGGAACAGAACACAGGGATAAGAGGGCCTAGTTCTCAGACCGGTAAAAGGCTATTCCAGTTGACAGAGATTATGTTAACAGCTTCTGTGCTGGAAGTTTGGCAAAAAGGCTTTAGGGAAACTGTCTCTTTTTTTCATTCATATTTCATACGTATTATATGTATACACAGAGAACACTGCATGTATTAGACTGTGATTTTCTGTCACAATCATGGTCATCACACTATATATGTAAGTAGTCATGACATAAAAGGGGCATTTCAAATCTTATTTAATAGTATCCATTCTTATATTTCTGGCAAGAAGATCTGAAGAACACTACCTTACCATGTTAAGCACTACCTTAGGACCTCACAGTGTTCTTTCTCATAAAGCAGATACCACTTCCAGTGCAAATACATGTGCTTACAACTTCAATGTTAGCTGTCAGTAGGTACTCAAGCATGAAAAGTTAACATTTGCTTTCTATCAGGATTCACGTGACTAGTGCTCAGTGGCTTGAGTGCTGGAGAAAAGTGAGTACAGAAGGTCCTTGACACCAGAGTAATAAAGATTTTCAAGTTCAAATAAAACTTTACAGATGTTTTGGCATTCTCCCAATACAATTTAAAGAAAATAACAACAAAATCAAGAAAGTAAGCAGGTAGTTAACTAATTATAAATGTTTTACAGTTGCACCTCAGTGCAAAGCTTACTCCTCTGCTGGTTGACTGAAAGCCAGAACTAGCTAATGCTGCATTCTGTGATACTGAAGACATTGCTCAGTAGCAATTCACCTATAAAATCCAGGATTCAAGGCTTGTTCAATACTTGTTTACAAGAGAAGATATGCAGAATTTTAGAAGCTTATAAAAATAACTGGGTGATCCAACACAGATCCAACACGGATTCAAGTTTCCTTCCACCAGCTTTAACAAACGCAACCCATGTCAGATCTCATCTAAAATTTAACCCACAGAAACCTGAAATAAATCCCTAAGTATTTTTCTAAAAAAAAAAAAAAAAAAAAAAAAAAAATGAAACAACGGACAGCGAGATTCATAGCCTTGATAATTTCTTTCTTGATGCTTAATAGAAAAACAACCTGATCATGTTAAAAAAAAAAAGGACTACCTAAACAAGTTATCCAGATTGACCTTGTTTATCATGTTTAACACTCATATCCCAAATAATGAGATGGCCCTGATGACAAGTTTTATATGGAGAGTGATAGTAATTGCATTAATATCATTATACCCTTTGTGCCTTACATGAGATCATGTTATTGTCTTTCCCCAGGTACTCATTGGATTTTTTTTCCAAATTTACTTACCATAAATAGTAAATTTTAGAGATTGACAAGACTTGCAATTTTAAAGAAGCTTTTTATAATTCTGACTAGTTTTCATTTCCTACAAACATTAAAAGTCATAATACAATTTTTTAAAAAAGGGATTTTGAACACAGAAATGTCAGATTGTTTTTTTCCAGCATTTCCAAACATTCTAGCATTCTCAAATCAGAATGAAGAACAGTTTGCTATTTTTTTCCTCCAGCTCCTGGATTGAATCACCCCTCTAAAGATTTACTACATTATTTTGACCTAGCCAGAATGACCTACTACTTTCAATATACTGTCAAAAAGCTTAACGAATGAGCCAACGCGAGCCTCATGACATTGAAAGACAATGCAAAATCTTGAAGAAATACCCATGCAAAAATACAGGCTGGGAACCATTTGACCATTCTGCAACTCTGCAGGAAAGGACACAGGGTTCAAGTTTAAATGGGTCTTTGTGGAAAACAAGGTCAACCACCTACCACTCTGCATCAGAAGGAGTGTGGTGAGTAGATCAAAGGAAGGTTAAGGAAGCACTTGAGAGGCTACACTTAAGAGTAGTATGCCCAGTTTTTGACACTCCAGTATTAGAGATTAACAAACTCCTGAGTCCAGAAGAAGGCCCGTAAGATGGTTGGGAGCTGGAGCAAATGATATTTGAGGCAGAGGGAACAGGATTTATTTAGCCGGAAGAGAAGGCTAGGGTGGCATCCAATTGCAGTCTTCCATTACATAAAAGGAGGTCAAAGAAGATGGAGACAAAGTCTTCCCAAAGCAAAAGAATAAGAGGCAATAGTATTAAATTGCAATAATGGAAATTAATGTTGGAAATTGTACTGGCTGCAGTTAAGCACTGGAACAGGCACCCAGAGTGTCTGGAATCTCCATCTCAGGCAATTTTCACAACTTAGCTGGATAAGACCCTGAACAACTGAGTCAAATTTTGAAGTTAGCTCAGCCTCAAGCAGGCGTATAGACTTGATGATTCTTTATGTCCCCTCCAACCAAAGTTTTTCTGCTGTTCTGTGTATCAGCAGTAAAAGACAACTAACCAGACTGTAAGCATCATTACTCCACCATCTAAACCTATTATTTACTTATTCCTCAATTATGGTGTGCTGTTTGACTCCCATCTCAAAAAAGATAATTTAGAACTGGAAATAGTTCCTTCCGTATTGAAAAGGACTGAATAGATCAGAACTCTTCAGGAAGAAAAGACAAAAGAGCCTAAAAGGTAGTATGATAAACTTCACGAGTGGTATGGAAAAGTGGATAAGAATCATTTGTTCACTTTGTCCTAATACTAGTATGAGAGACTACCAAAGCTAGAAAAACAAAGGGCAAAAGAAAAAAAACGTGGTTCTTCATACAATGGATGGTAGGCCATTTGAATGCTTTCCAGGCAAGAGCACAGCAGCACTTTGTTTAACTTGCACTGTGTTTCTTTAAAGGCAAACAAACAACATGAAGCTCAGGTATTATGAGACTAAGAGAAAGCTGGGTTATAAATATGTATTCGTCTTGTTTTATTCTGTGTTAATGCTTATTACCACTGCTGGCTGAAGGATGCTAGGTTAGATAGATGCTTAGCCTTAAATTAATGCTGTCATTCTTATAATAATGTTTTACAAGGTTCCTCAGCAGGGGCTGGCTGTACAATCATAGCTCTGAAACTTTTGAGTTTTAGTCACCACCAAAAAGAATTATCTGTGTACAATTGTTAGAACCCTTTGTGTTCGTTATGAGAGATTCCAGCTAACACACATCCATGGCACCTGGATATCTTACACAGAACCTGAGACAGGCAGTATTTTGGTACATGTTCTGTGATACCAGACCATGTAATTTATTTAAATATTTTCATGTCAGAAATACATACAGATAAGAACATGAAACACCAAAAGATGCAGCCACATGAATAAGGTTAATAGAGATATGCTGATTTATGAGACAAAGATGTGAGCCATGATTCAGATCAATAAACCCACTGTTGATTTATAGATGTTCTGCCACAGCAGTAAAGGTTACAGTAGACTGTGTACCCAACAAGCCTTGTAGACAGATGATGAAACATGATGAAACATATGAAGCAAGTAAAAAAGATCACACCGAGTACTGAATGCATGCAAAAATAGAGCTCATGCCAGTTGTGTTAGTATACAATTGTTTCCACTTTTACTTTACATTACAGTGTGATCAGGCAAAGATGTTTGTTATAGATGAATAGAGTTGATTATTTGCTGATTACAGATGCACTAATTAACTCGGTGTTATTTGTTCCAAAACTCTATTAATAATCAATTCCAAAAGATTTGGGCAGTTGTGTGCAATTTGACATAACATTAATCGCCAGAGTAAAATGCTGTGGTCCCTCCTTTACAAAATAATGAAGACAACCCCCTGGCCACCCCCCATTCCTCCCATCCCCCCCTCCCCCCCCCAAAAAAAAAAAAAAAAAATGTTGGCAGAGAACCAGTATACCTAAAATAGGCCACTTTTCAATCTAAGCAGCTTGCTAATCACCTGGACCATCCCTGACAGTTCAGACAATGAGGATTTAAGAGTTCAGCCCATAAAATGATGTTTAAATAAGAGGTACAAAACTGTGCTAAAGCTTTTACCTATGAGCTAAGGAGGTTATGTTTGTGCTTTGTAGAAAAAAAAACAAAACATATATATATATAAAAAATTTAAACAGAACACTATAAATCTGGGTAAGTGAGCAAAAGTTACCATAAAGATTAATCCTAAATCTAGAAACAGTTGTGTTTTATTTTGTTTTAATCTGTGAAAAGACCAATAATAAAGGCACAGTGGGGAGCTACACAGGGATTTGTAACGTTGCTGTTCTGTGGTAGTTAGGGTTATGCCAGCATTTACTTTTCAAACACTCATGAGGTAGAAACTTACTATAAAGCCATAAACATTCTCTCTAACCTGAAACTAAGCTGTATCTTGAGATCTCATCTCTTTCACTATTTCTGGACAAACACAAATGGTTCAGTTATGCAATTCTGAAGAGAAAAATAAGTTTGTTGCACTGAAAAGCTTTTAAAGATTTTTATCTTGGGAAAAAAATAGTTTTGGCATGAAGAAAAGCCCTTGGCAAGACATTAGTCCATAGTCTGCTCTACTATCTGTTAGCATTTCCAAAGAGAAGCAAACAGTCTAGTCAAGCTACTGAGATTTCTACAATTGCAGTAACATTTTCCTCTCAAATTTTCCAGGGGGATTTCACAACTGTGGGTAGACATAATAATTTATTACCCTCAAAAATGACTTTTTTTTTTTAACCGTCTGTGCAGAGATATGCATCAACACTCATTTCTACTGTATCAGACCTAGGCATTCTGTCTCAGAGAATTTAGTAAACAAAATAAGGCTTGACAGCAGAAGCTCTGAAACAGACATAAATTGGATAAGCTGATCCTGCAAAGATCCTTGAAATAATTAAATACAAGGAAGGTAAGTGACAATGATTTATCTGTATATTTACAGCACGTAGTCTTGATTTGGTTTTCACACTGGTTTAACCCGGATATACACCTGGGTACTGCAGCATATCCACACCAAGCCTTGTGAAGTCAATTCTGCTTCTGCAGTACCCTTTTATCTTCCAGGCTATTACATGGGGAAAACACAACACAATGAAATAAAACACCATGCAGAACTCTCACTTCTCAATCACATAATACAGCACCTTGTCCTCAGTCTGCTAATCTTTGTTTACAGTAATCTTCCTAATAGAAGAACTTCAAAACATAAAAGGTATACAAGAGACAATAAGCAGTAAAACCAGCTGATATTAAGTTATTAATGACACACAAGACTAAATAATCTCACTAAAGAAACAGCAAGAGTGAGATCCAAGGTCTCACGGGCTCACTGAATGTGGAAGATATGTAAGGCACAGAAACCTGTGCCTACTGCTGGTTTACTACCAAGTTAGCTCTATTTAATGACAGTAATGAGCAGGCCACTTACAGCAAAAGAACTAAGCCTGTCTCTCCTTCCATGTCTAGTCTCCCTACACTATGCACATTTGTCCACTTGCCTCATTCACAGCTGAGAGGAAATGAATTATTGTACAAGGGAACATACATCCCTGACCCTTAGCTTATATTATCATCCCTAATGTACAGAATCTTGAAGCTTGGGGAAAGACCTTTGAAATCAGGAAATCTATTCACGTTCCTCAGGTCAACCATATATACACTTCACTGCATAAGGCCATACTGTTTGGCACCTTGGAAGATTAAATCTGTTTGTTAGAAGCTGCTTTTCTTCTTCAGCCACAGAAAAGAGGAGTGAGGCAAAATTACACAGAGGATGTAGGATAACAAGAGATGTTCTGGGTTGATCAGAAAAGTGTACTGAGAGGAACAGATGCGCTGAGACATTTCCCCTTTGTTTTTATCTGCTATACCTGTAAACCACTCAATGTCTCTTATGTTGTTTAGAATAGCAACCAGAAGTCTGAGGGTTCTGAAATTCTCACAGATGCAAACAGAGCACCCAAGCATATTCCTTGCCATTTAGATATAGAGTAATTCCTCTTTTGTTAATGACTGATATGGGCAAGCCCTTGAAGTTGTGCTACACCTTTATCAAAAATACAGCAAGAATCATAGAATCATTAAGGGTGGAAAGGACCTCCAAGAACATCTGGTCCAACCATCACCCTACCACCAATATCACCCACTAAACCATGTCCCTAAGCACCAGGTCCAACCCTTCCTTAAACACCCCCAGGGACAGTGATGCTACCATCTCCCCGGGCAACCCGTT